TCTCTCTCTCTCTCTCTCTCTCTCTCTCTCTCTCTCTCTCTCTCTCTCTCTCTCTCTCTCTCTCTTTCGTTCTGAGATCCGCTACGTCTATTTCTCTATCTCCTTCCCACTTTCCTTTCTCTCTCTATCACTCTATCACTCTATTTCGCTGTCTCTCTCACGTACGTTCTCTCACTCCCTCTCAATATACCTGCCAGTATATCTCCGTCTCTCTCACGACTTAAAGAGTCCTCTCTCTTCTGCCCCGCAACCTGCCACCGCATCACCCCCGCCCTAACGCCGTTGACCATCGCGATCACGATCTTTTATCCTCGTTCTCTTGAAGACGTAGAAAAGAAAAAAAAAAACAATCTCTCTCTTTTTGTTTGTTTTCTCTCTCATGCTAACGCGAATGCGGAACCCCCTTGTGCTGGTAAAGTATACCACACGCAGAAAGACCAGGTTCAGAAGAAAGCCAAGCTAAAAGATATTTTCTCGTCGGACTTCGTCGGTACGCAACTACTACTACAACAACAATAACTACCATCACCACCACCGTAACAGCAACAAAACAGGAAACAGCAAACTTCCTCATGTAGAAGCTATCCTGTTTAATTTTCTTAGTCGCGAGCCTCCTGACTTTTTTATATTCCGTTATCGTCCCGCGGCCTCGCATGATACGCACATATGCATGCGCCACACTTGACGCCGCGCGTTTTCTCCAAACGTGGCCGTCCAAATATAACGATTGCATTCAGCACATTTGTAAACACGAGATAAGAGTCGGAGGTAACCACAGTCAAAGCGCGGTATCGATGCTCATTTCTTTTTTTATCTATATACCTTTTATTATCTATATATATCTTTTACGGTCATAGCTAGCATTTTTCAAGCTAGTCGTTCGAGGCGTCCGATATTGAAGCATCGCGGGAGATGATAACTGTGCATCTAATGTCGAGGCTGGCGATACGATAAGGATGACATTCCGATAGCCATGTTTAGGACCAAAGTGCGCGCTGCAGCACAGGGCCATTGCCTTTCGATGTCGCGTTGCGTGTTTGCTGCTTGCTGTCGATTTTCCTTTCCTTCTCCCGTTCTTACTTTCGTTTCAAAGTGAAGAGCCAATCTCGCACGTAAATGTAATCCTTTTGACTGTCGATCCTGTCGAATTTTTCCCAGCGCTGGACTTGAGTACAGAAACAGTTACACATTTTTATATACTCAAAGTATCTATCATTTGGAATAGAAGTATCCACAAATATATATCTTTCGTTCGGACAATCGGAAGTTAGTTCTTCCGAAATTGTCGATGCACTTAACGAATTCGCCTTTCTCCTTAGAGTTTGTAGAGTTTTCCTCTTTCGCACGTAGCTCTCTTGATTGCTTCACCTACATAAAAACTGTATATCGAGCAGCATTAGCTGGAAATGTTAACGTAAATGTTAGTTTAGTGCACACTTGACATAATAGATGTTTTAAGCGATTTGCAGCGTGATTTGTAGCAGCGTGCATGTGCTTTGATTATATTTCCTTCTCATACTGTTATTAAAATGTGACATTCCTGTCTCCCTCTCTTCTACCTCTGAAACGCGAGAAGTCATTTAACCGTGTGTTAAATGTCTTGAATCATCATTTTATGGGTGCGCGAATTTAGTATCTTATCGTTTTATCATTTATGTAAAATCGTTTATGTTATTATTATCTGCAAAGAACGCGCAAACCATTTTACGATACAAAGCTATTATCGTTTAGATTAGAAATAGAATTTAAAAGGTTTAGATTAGAAAAATAATTTAAAAGGGTATCTCTATATTATTATGATTAGTTTTGTTATTTGATCATTAATTCAATGCATTCGTAATTGAGAACATATTGAAAACATTTAATGAGTTTATTATGAAATATTTATGGTACATATTTAATATATTATATCATTAAATCAATGCATCCATAATTGAGAATATATATTATAAAATGATAATAAGGGTAATAAGGAAACCATCGATGTTTGGCGAAATTTGTTGGCATTCAGTTGGAACTAGCGTTAATTAACCGTGCAACATGATAATATTTTGAAAGAACACCTCGAGCCTCTTATCGCTATTAACGCTACTAATAAGACTTAAATCCAGCGCGGCGACAACGAATTATTTTTAACTACTTCAAGGACGAATTATTTTAAATTTCTAGCTTCTTCCAGCTAGAAGTTCATTCTGGACGCATGCGTGAGATATAAAAATGACACTGGTGGCAGGGAAATTATGTCAGCTTCCTGAGTTTTGACTATATTATTAGATTTCTAAATTCTGAAATCCCGCGGTTGACGATGCATTTAACGCTGAAATTTCCGGTAATGAGCCGCATGTCCCTGAAACAAGATAAAGTTCGCACTCCAGAGTCATCGCTAACGAGACCTTACAATTATTTTTAACCTCTTCAGGGACAGGTTATTTCTGATTTATCATTTTCTTCCCGTCACTTTGCAGGAGCAAAGCACTTTACATGACAGGCCGTTTAAATTATCGGATATCGAGTATATTAGATCATCTTGGAGTTTCTCACGTCAGATTGCGCGTACTTATGCAAGCATAATCTCAAATCTTACGTCTAGAAGAAGAAACGCTATCGCCGCGAAAAGATCTTCCAACTGAATCTCAGCAGTTTATTTGAAAGACGATCATGCATCCGCGTTACGTGTGATAAAATTTATAAAGCTACGTATCGAGCCTGCGATATAATTAACTGATGTGATATCTATCTTTACGTACGTAAATTTAGAAATTATTAGCATGAATTAACACGCGCGATAAAGTGTGCTTATGCGTCACCACTGAGCACTTTCGGATCACCGATGAAATTTCTTTTTATTCCAATTTATTTTCCGGTTTATTTTGAGCGAACTCGATGATTCCGCCGAATGACATTTTCAGCCTGTTTTCGCCTGGAATGTATACTCTCCGTTTGTCGCGGCAGAGTGACAATAGGTTCTACATCCGCGGTTAGAGGAATCTCTCTGCATCTCTGCTCTATGGTCGCCGTGACCTTGCTAATATGCAGTTTTCCAATAACGAGTATCGGCCCAGTTCAGCCGCATCGTGAATTCCCTTTTACGCCTATAAATAACAGTCCGACGACACATCCATAGCGTCATAAAGAGAGATGATCTGCATTGGATGTCGTTAAATCACCTGTTCCCTCCGCCTTCGAGCTTATTAACGCTTTGGACAGCCACGGTGACGTACGCTCAAAAAAATCATTCGACCCGTTTATGAAAAATCTGGAGTAAGCGCGCACCAATCGATCGGCGATTGAATCTTAGATGTAATTTTTTTATCAAATTCACATCTACATTTTTCAATATCAGGCAGGTTTATCAAGCAGATATTTAGAGTAATTAAGGTGAAGTTTATGAAGCAAATATTTCAAAGTGATTTCTCTAAATATTTGAAAGCATTCTCTTCTCCCAGTTTTAACAGATTATTCCTTCAATTGTTATTTGAAAAATTTAATTCTGTAAAAATGTAGTTTGCATCAACGAGAGGAGTATAGATTATTATTCGTTGGTGTCTTCACTTTACCGGCAGTGGCAGATTATGCGAAATTCGACGTGGAGATTAGGAAGCCGAGAAAAGTTGAATCATTCAGAGCGTTATACTGCGATCCAGAATCCATAGTTGAGTAATATTCTAGGTTTTCGTTATATTTAACCGTGCAACTCGTCGTAAATAGCTCTCTCTCTCTCTCTCTCTCTCTCTCTCTCTCTACTTCTATCTCTCTAACTCTTTCCTTTTTTCTTTTTTTTCTCTTTTACCAAGGAGAGATTCGCACTCCTGAAACATGAATCCCCGTTGCCTAACGAGCTTATCAGTAATTTCACGCCTTTGACGCTATTATAGTCGATGCGATTATCACCGTAGACCACGTCGGAAGTACCGTGACTGTACCCATATGCTCGAGAATAGGCAAAGATGATGGCCTCACCGTAATCTGTAATACCGTAATCGTGTATCTCACCCCTGTTTATTGAGACGGCTAATTACCGGCAGAAACTTGATTATCTTCCACGCCCCAAAGTAGAGTTATGCTCGGTGTATCTGTGGAAAAAAAAAAAGAAGACGAAGAAGAGTGCCTCGAGATCCCTCATTAGTGCGGTGGATGGGAAGGGAAGACCGGCGTCATTAGGTGTCATTATTGATTTTACGCGCTTACGAACCGCGCGAGTAAGTAAATCGAGACAAGAACGTCAATATAATCAGCCGTGTCTTTCTGTCATTCTTTTCGCGGCGTGAAATGCAAGAATTGCATAACCGCTCCGTAATGACGCGGCGAAACAAAAGCGGCACATGTCGATGGAGGCTTATTGGAGGAAAATTGACAGGGTAATGATATTATTGGCGTGTCACGCTTGAGTAATTCCAGAAGCAATACGCGCGTAATGGTATAAGTAATATGATATAAGTATAGCGCTTAATTATACGTGACAATGGCATTATCGATTTTTTTTCCGGAGATAGAGACCGCCTATTCTTACGTTAAACTTAGATTTCTCTCTCGATATAAAAAAAACGTGTATCGAGAGAAGATTGAAATCAGCTGTAAAGTCATATTGGCATTAAATGTGATAAGCTCGCCATGTATCGTACAGTTTTAATAATAAACAATAAATAATAATAAAATATATAAATATTTTATTTGCTTCTTCTTTGTTTCAATTTCTTTGATTTAATGCGCATTCAAGAATTATATATGATTCACCGCACTGATGAAGGGTCGCCTCGATCTTGCGGGATACGCTTCGACTAACCGTGAATATTTCTGGGCACACAGTTAGAGGATGTCGACCGGGCAAGACCGTGATCATGACGGAGGCCGAGGTGCGCGGCCTCTGTCTAAAGTCGCGGGAGATTTTCCTGCAGCAGCCGATTCTGCTTGAGCTGGAGGCGCCGCTTAAGATCTGCGGCGACATACACGGCCAGTACACCGATCTGCTGCGGTTGTTCGAGTACGGCGGCTTCCCGCCCGAGGCAAACTACCTGTTTCTGGGCGACTACGTCGACCGGGGGAAGCAGTCCCTGGAGACGATATGCCTGCTGCTGGCGTACAAGATAAAGTACCCGGAGAACTTTTTCCTGCTGCGCGGCAATCACGAGTGCGCCAGCATAAACAGGATATACGGCTTCTACGACGAGTGCAAGCGGCGGTACAACATCAAGCTGTGGAAGACCTTCACGGACTGCTTCAACTGCTTGCCGATTGCCGCGATTATCGACGAGAAGATCTTCTGCTGTCACGGCGGGCTCAGCCCTGATCTACAGGTGATTAGCGTTTCCACCATTCGACATTGATTTATTTCCCGAGATTCAACGGGGAGAAGCGTAATTCTGAATCTTGTACTTTATACTTTGTCTGCTTTAGGGAATGGAGCAAATCAGAAGAATTATGCGTCCAACTGATGTACCTGATACCGGTCTTCTTTGTGATCTCTTATGGTCCGATCCCGATAAAGATGTTCAAGTAAGTTCACGTCTCTTTGGGTGAAACGTAAGAGCGCTCGATTGAACTAACGTTTCCGTTGATGATACTGTTTCAGGGTTGGGGCGAGAACGACAGAGGAGTATCGTTTACATTCGGTCCAGATGTTGTGTCGAAATTCTTGAATCGTCACGACATGGATCTGATATGCAGAGCACATCAGGTGGTCGAAGATGGTTACGAATTCTTCGCCAAGCGACAGCTCGTCACGCTGTTTTCCGCGCCAAACTACTGCGGTGAGTTCGACAATGCCGGAGGAATGATGAGCGTCGACGAGACTTTGATGTGCAGTTTTCAGGTAATTTATTAGCAAGGGATTTCCTGTCAGTCTTTTTATACCGTAATAATATAATATTAACTTTATCTCGTCTCATGTTTGCGCGCAGATCCTGAAACCATCAGAGAAGAAAGCAAAGTATCAATATGGAGGAATGAACACAGGCCAAGCGGGTAGACCATCTACACCACAGAGGAATCCAGCGAAAAAGAAATGACAGCCTTCTACCGATCCTTCACAACAACAAACGCGATTATCCTTAATGGAGGCTATCATGCTAGGTAAATCTGCTTTATGCTTGTCAAAGCTTACTTAATCACTCTAGCCGACCACTTATGTGCATTAGTATGAATCTATTTCCCACGACTATCAGTTAAACAGAAAAAGAGAAAAAGATCAGAAAAAAAAGGAAGACAGGAAAGGATAGGTGGATGGAAGCGAGATGTAGGATGTTATTCGATGTATTTAAGTTCGCATATTGATTCGCAAATGATTTAGACGTTATATTTAGCATGCGACGTTTCCAACACGTGTACTCGTGTAACGCACTCCGGGGCGTGTACGATTTATATGTGATAATTTATTGGGCAATGATACATTAATGGATTCATTCACACACGGAACACACGTGAACCTGCAGAAGTTCTTAGTGTTTTCTAGCGGAAGTGCGTGTTGAACACACTGAGCACCTCGTCTCGGATGCCATAGATCTGATCTCGTCTTTGATTTTCATGTGTTTCAGCACGAAGACGTCGAGATACAGAACTAACCTAATCTGATAAACATAAAGCTAAAGTGTGTAAGATTTACCTCTTCCTCAATCGCATCTTAACAAAATAAGAAAAGATATAAACGATTCGCGGTTTTGGTTATCACTGTACTTGAAGGGTCACTCTTGAAGTTCCCTGGCAATTATTCGGTGATATCTTCCAAACTGAGTGATCTTTTGTAAAGTTAACTCTTTTTAAAAGGCATTTTGTCATCTTCATTTATATATTTATTGCTTCCACTGTTGATGTTGAGTGTAATTATGAGACTTGCTGTTATTATTATTATTATAATTATTAAAATTAATTAATATTAATATTTTTATTTTTAATATTATTTTTATCATCGCTTAGCAGCTAATTTAAATGTCATCGTTTCATGAGATGCTTTGCGTGTATATAGATATAATTAAGTGCGTAATGGATAATGATGTAAGAGAAAGGATGTTCAAAAATATATCTATATGCATATATATTTTTGACCATCCTTTTTTTTACATCATTATTACGCATTTAATTATATCATCATGTGCAGTATTCCAAATGTGGTAGTAGTGACTGCACGTTCCAGAGATGTCATAGGCGAATTAGATTGTTTATTTTCGGGCTATAAATTCGAAAAGAAAGAACGGAGAATCAGTATTTGTAAGATAAGACATCTACACTAACGAGCATATCTTTATTCGAAGGATACTAGAAAAATGAAGAATTGTAAAAAAAAAAACAGAAACGAAAAATGAGTATTATACTAAGAAAAATAATGTCCAGAGATAGAATCTCAACTGCATGTGAACTTCTCATGCTCATAGTAGAAGCAAACGTGACCGCAAATGTTATTTGATTCACGGAACATTCGTTGCACATTATGAAAGTGTTTGTTTCGAATTGCACGAACATCTCGGATATGATTTTTGACAGGCGAACCGTACTTTCGATTTCGACGAACTCAAATTTTATGTTTTACACGATATGTATATATGCTGATTTATATCACTAGGACATTCAAGTGCTGAAGCTCACTTTCTTTTTGTTGAATGAAAACGACGGCAATTGCATTTGGATTAATTGGTACATTTATTTTAAACACAATATTGTAACATATTTCTGTGGCCGCATTGTTACGTCTTTTTACACATTGATCACAATATTTTATGCGATACTGGGTTCGTCGCCGAAGAAATCGCTACACGTGCTGACACGATTGTTTCTCGATTAAACTGTTAATAATAGCGCTTTAACGATCTCCCCGCAAACCTCGCTCTTGTTTTGTAATCGGATCTGTATGATCTTGTTTGGAAATCGTTTGCGCGGCAGATATAAAAAAAAGTTGCATTTGTTGAAAGAAAGGTATGCATTACGACAAGAATCGTCGAATATTACTCGCGATCGCTGCATCGCAATGTATACAAGAATACTATGAATCGTATATGCGACACTCTCCGACGAAGAAAATCCATAATTCTCTACGGAAGCGCTAATCGATCGAATAGTAATGACGTCCGAGGTTGTATTCATACTGAGGATATCTTTCTATAGTAATGCGCAATGTGTCTTTTAGAGATTTAATATTTAATACTTGCTATCGGCAAAATATCCATGAATACAACCGATAAATCTGCTGCAAAAATTAATCGGGGCAATCGACAAAGTACATTTATTGACGACTAAATGAAGATTGATAATTGATGAGAGAGAATTATCGTATTGTGCAAGATATTGAGAAAACAATGTAGAAGTACGATGAACGTATATCAAACCTGAAACAAAAAAGACTCATCCCGGCCCGAAGATCAATCAAATGTAATAATAAGCCTTTTTGTTGTGCGAAGACGCCACGATTGGTACTCATATCGTTACTCATTATTTGATTGTTATTTAACGTTATCGGATATTGATAGCATTCGACGAAGTTAGTAGATTATTATTCAAGGTATTTCTCATCAGTAACGACATATACGAGAGAGACGCGGTGCAAATTTTGTTTTGGAACGTGCCGAGATGAAAATGTGTCATTCTCACCCTCCTCCTCCCTACGTTACTCCCTCCCCTTTCACCCTCTCAAAAAAAAAAGAAGAAACAATCGAAAAATTCATTATTGTCAAAGGAGCGGTTGTGATCCCTCGATATGCGTTTTGTCCGAAATTCATATATTATATACAGATATTATATTTGTAAAGGGTTGGCTGGTCGCGATTCGACGATACTTTATTAAATAAGTAAATAAAAAAAAAATAGCGAGAGACGCTCTCATGAGAAGGAGTTAGATCGAGAGACGATTATCGTGGGTTGTTACGTCGTTCGAATCGCTGACGATAGAATGCGCCATGCAATGGCATCCTAAAGATGTAAAACTTTCAGATAATAAACATGCATATTGTTGTACAAACCTCTTTTCCAGTCTGCCGTGCTTATCTCGACTCTTCCAGAAGAAGGTAATGTAAATCTATTGCGATGAACGTAACAAGTTAATTTTTTACCAAGATAATTGAAAAAGATTTATTGATTTTTTTGCACTTGCATACACTTAACCTAGCATTGGAAAGTGTTGTGCAAACTATAATTTATATCTTCGTAATTTATATTGAATGAGAAAGACATTTTGAGATTATTTTATTAATTGAAATTATTAATAAAGTTTCTAGGTTAGAAGATTATACTATGGTTAGAATTTTATACTACGGATTGTAAATCGTCGCAATCAAAATAATAATGTAAAAATTATGGGGATGAATTGAAGTCGGATAAACTGTAATAAAATTTTGGCAGTGTTTATTTTATTTCGTGGATAAATTTTACGGATGAACAATAGTACAATAAATCATACGATGGGATACGTTCATAAATAAAATTTCCTGGAAACGATATGCACTGTGATAAAGACGCCAAAATTCTTTCGGGACGTGATGCGAGTTTTCTTTCTTTTTTTTGGTCGATTTTTTTCCGGCATTATTTTTCTTTTTTCATCGTTTTTTATTTCACGCTTTCCGTGTGGCGCCAGACAGTCATCAATAGGTGTGAGCTGCAAAAAGAAAAATGTGTTGATCAAATATGAAGAGGCAAAGCGGCAATCGTGCGCACTTATGGGAAAATATTTAAATTATAAGAACAATATTTGAGAAATTACATCTCGCGGTGGCAATTAATAATGTTTATCAACACACTGTCGAGATAAGTTTAATACTTGATTTATTATTTTTCCATAAGAGCCTAATTTGCAGATTTCTACCGGAGAAAGTATGTGCTTATATGACTTGTTCAGAAATTACACAAAATTTTTAAAAGTAAAAAATTTAATTTATTACAATTAATATTTTTATAATTAAACATTTAAAAAAATATTGGAAACCTACACGTTCTCCTGTAAAAACCTTCAGGAAAATTTAACAGAATAATGGAATTGTCATAAATCTGATGATACAAGTTAAACATTAGAAAACATAAATCTACATGTCCTCGTTAAATACGATGCAATATTTCAATTATATCGACAATGGCAATTAATTACTTGTGCTTTGATAGCGATAATGAATACAGACGTGTTAAATCTTTATATTAACATCAGTCATTATCTAAATTTAACACTGCAAGCTGCAATTGTGAACTATAAATTCTGCGCCATATGTATTGTATTGATTTATTAGCAGCATACTACATTGAGTGGAAATATTAAACCGTAAACGAGGCCTCCCAGTACACTCGTCTGGGGGTATTCGAGACATTCACTACACAAGTATTTCACTGAAAAAAATTCAAAATATGATGTTTGGTATATATATTAGTAACTAAAAATGTATATGAAGAAACGTAAACGAATAAATGGTGGAAATGTTTGTACAGGCTCGCAAATCAGGTACAGATCGCCGTGGGAGATATTGATCGTGAGAGATAACTTTACGATTAGAGTTGATTAATGCTACCGATTACGTGAGGAATTAGGATGATACTACATTAATAAAACCCTTTGGCTACGACGCTTCTGGCTGAACTGTCGCTCCTGTCGTCAGGGACAGCAAGAAAACGGCTCTATGCTAAACGTCGATTCCACAAGCGGTGAATGCTAAGGCTAATAATCGCGAGCGATGTGCGGACTTTAACACTAGAAGGTATGGCAGCTTTTGCTACTAAAAAATATATCGTATCATTTTTCTATCTTATTTGATAATAAAAATTATATATAAATAATAAGAATGTAATTAGAATGTAATAATTATATTTTTATCATTTATGTATAATATATGTAATTAGAATAATTACATTCTTAAAATTTGTACGAGGATGTACAGAATGTTTATGATCTCACTTTTACTAGCAATGTGAGAATTAAAGTTCCACAAAAAAATATAATTTCCAACTACTTAAAAATATTCCACAAATTGGAATCATTGTCCTTGACATTAATGAATAAATTCAGGTCCTTTTAGTGTTAAAAAATAAATGGCGAGTTATGCAGCGAACGTGGTTTGCGGAATGGAGTTTTTAATCACTGTGCAAACAAATATTTCACGATTGGGATAGACAAATGTCGGGCACATACCGCGTGTTCTGTCAGTGGCTCCTCGGCGGAGTAACGGCTCGGTAATTAATAATTGCCACAAGGATTAACGAACATTCTTGTAGCGATAACGCAGTCTGGGGAAAAACATTCGGGAAAAAAACAGTCGAGTTAATGCACAACGAGTACGAGTGTGTGATCGGGATATACGCGGTGGGGGTGAGAGGGCATTTTTCCTAGATAATCGACACCACGTGTACATCGAGGAAACCCGCGCGTGGTAGCCCAAGGGTTAGAGATGCCCCGTCTCGCTCAATTCAAATAGCTGTGAAATTCGTTGGAATAGCATTCAAACGGCTAGTCGTAAGACGGATCTATATTACGATGTATATTACGCTGATCACTCATTTGTTACAGTCTACTTGCATGTTAATGGCCAGTACGGTACACTTTAATATGACGCAAACGAGAACCGTTTATCGGTGTGAATTGTGTGATGCGCCACCCACTATCCCCGCCGACTGATTGATTACTGATCGTTTGATTTATTATACGAGTAAATAGGATGCGAGGGACTGAGGTTACTTTGATCTTTTATCGCTCACTTTTTTTTTGCTTAATGCGTGGTACGTTTATTATACCACGGGCTGGTAAAGTGATATCGTGGAACTGGCTGCGAATAATAGTAGTATAACGCTCCTGAAACGATAGACATTCGTTTGCTGTAGCATCGATCTCATCACATTAAATCTGCATTCAACACTCTCGGTTTGAAATCCACAGAGTCTGTCGTTAATTGTCGTCGGTTTACTCGTCTTTGATGAGATCTCAAACAATGCAGAAATCAAAAAGACGTCTAAAAGACGTCTGAAGGATATTCACGATATCTTGAGAAACCTTTTGGACGTCTTTTCCGCTTTTTTGGATATGCATGTTATTACGCTTGTAAGAGAATTGTGTAATATTTATTCTTATCGCAAAAACAAAAGCAACTGTTTGGCGATTGAGACAGCAAACAGAGTTTCGTAGTTTGTCAAAAATGTGGAACGTGTTCAAAAAGTAAAGCTGGCCCAAAACGTCGATTTTGCCAGCTGGGTACCAGATGTTCTCAATTTTACAACACGACAAAGTTGACGCTACAACGTTGCACTTGTGCCAAAAGCAGCAGCAGTATCCGAGCTGCCAAATATCTCCATATGGTCGCGACGGTTTATATTTTTGATCAAGGCAGTAAGCAAAAAGAATATTCCGACCCGTTGTCTGACGTCACAACTGGCGATGACTTATATCACTTGAATAGCGCTTGAAACAGCCAATTTAATTTTCTAGAAAACCTGTAAATCTTCTCGATGGTGCAATCAACATATCTTATTTACTAATTTTTGTCTCAAATTTTTCACGAATCTCGCACAATTAAATTTTGTTTCATTTACCTAAAATTTTTTATTTTTTAATTTTTTTAATTGAAAAATTTACTTTTGACAAGAAAATATTGATTGGAAATTTAAAAATATTTTCGCCAATCGAGACGTTTGCCTGCATGTTTCGTGGCGTGATGTAAGGGTGAAAAATTATTAAAATTCGTACCGACAATAGAACTATATCCTACTGGCAAAAAGGTAGACTGTATGCCTTCCAAAAGCTCACGCATGTTGCGAAAATGAGGAAAACGAAAAATATTTCTCGTACGAAAAATATGTTTCTCGTCTTTCGTAAGATTCAACCTGTATTTAAATTGTAATTTAATTATGTACCTATGTTAAATGTGCGTTAAGAACAAATGCATTATGTTCTGGACTACTATATTTTTCTCTTTAATATTTATTTTATTACAGAGAAATTTGTGTGAGAAAAACTGTATGAGAAATTGTGTAAATTTTCAAAAAAATTAGAAAATTATCACAATATCTTTTACATTTTTCAATAGCATTTGAAAATATAAAATAATCATAATTTTGAGCTTTTTAAAGCATTTGTGTATAATTTCTACTTATAACAGTAATTTTTTTTTTTAATTTTACTATAGTAGTCTAGATTTTAATATGTATTTACGATTACCAGTGCTTTTTTTATGCAAACTAAAAAAACAACAGTAATCGCAAATATATTGCGGTTACTGACTATAAATCCTATTGAAAAATTTTCCATTACAAAATACTTCAATAGCTTACACATCTGCACAATTTTTAAAATTTAGTACAGAATTCAAAGATCAAGTTTTAATATTAATTTATCTACGATATAGAGGACAGCGAAAATTGCACAATATTTCAACACCTCTCAATAGCACTTACAGTCAGTGTTTATCAGCGATCAATGCCACTTCACATCACAATTAAACTTTCATAATTGTCACTCCACAATGACATTTTCATCACTAAATTCTAAATCTGTCTATCCGACAATTAAAATTGGCATCGATCTCTGCTCGCCGCGTGAGAAAAGAAAGCATCACGTTATTCGAGACCGGAGAGCTCGGAGACACATACCGAAAGGCCTGATAGGATGTCGGCTCCATAGGTAATTGCGCTTAACTGGACTGAGGTAGCTGTCCCTCAAGAAGAATGGTGTGCGGTACTGAGCGTAGCTCGGGATGTAAGGCGCGTAGCTCGGGTACCACCATGGGTCCCTGGTGAACGCGCTGATCGGCGCCATCGGTGACGGTTCCAGGAGATCGAAAAGTGGCTTTTTACGCAGTAAGACGGATGGGTTCGGCAGTAAAAAGTCGTCGTCCACGAGGTTACCTGTGCGCGAGACGATTTTAATTCGAATCGATGATGGACTGGTTCGCGAGCAGTCGCCGAGTCGCCGAGGTAAGTGCGTATTGTTTATAAATATATACTAGTTATGTAAGATTGTATACGCGGCGGTAAATCGGCCTTGGGACCCTGTGCGCTAGAGCGAAATATTATTAGCGATTGTTTAGCAAACGCTATCTTTGAGATATTGAACCTGCCAGAATGAGGTCAGATCTTCATTTGTAAGGTTTGCTTGGAAGAGCGATATTTAAATTTTCTGAGAAACTTTACAAATATAATTCTTGAGTCATTTTTGTGACTTATTAATATATAAAATGGGCCTCATAATAACTTCATTCTTGCATTAGAAATTTTACAATAAAAGACATTATATTTAGTGAAAAATTATAAATGATATTTTATATATACAACATGTAGTAAAATAATTTACGCTGAACAATAAATATCGCACTTTGCTACTCACCGTGGATGTCGAACAATCGTTTCGTACTGAGCGGCGGGCTTAAATGACGAGCCAAAAGCGGTGACTTGCTCGGGTAAAGTTTATCGATGTCCGCCAAACGGTTCAGATGATCGGTCCAAGCCTTCTCAGCGTCGAATGGTTTCGCTGTATTGCGCAATTTTGCCACATGTGAAAATGAAAACAGAAATTAGCTGATTTACTATTTTGAGCACTTATTTCACTCGACGAATGCGACGTTGCGAACACTTTTTGCAACAGACTCAAATACAAACTTATATAGATTTCGCAATCATAAAATTTCTGAATAATTTCTAAATTTATTTTTTATTGCAAATACATTAAGACATACGTGAAATTGTTAGATCTAAAAAAAAATAAAACTTGGTTTCTATTTGTTACTGTTAAAGCATTCGCCACGTTTCGTCCAAGGCAAGGGATGTAATCAATACATTTATGTAACACCGAGAATCCGCAAAAATATAATGTGATGAATTTTCTTGATCTTTTAACAGTCGCATTTTTCAAGCGTTATTTACGGATATATTGATTACAAAGAAAAGGTGTCGGACTTCTCGTTGTTACGTTTCTTTAATAAGACGATGAGCGCACAAAGGAATTATATAGTCAAACTTTATAAACTTATCAACATACTATGCCAAAAATATTATCAAAATAAATTTGGAGAAATTGTAGTTTTCACACGTTTTAATTTTATATTTATTCCTTTATGTGCTGTCGACAAATCAGAAATGAAAAAGACGCGAAGGATTTAATTTAAAAATATATCCGAATTGCGTTGAATTAAAAACTAAAATATATACTTTTTTTAATTAAAAAAAAAAACAACATTTAGAGAGGCATAATATTTTCCGATATTCGATAATAAAAATTTAAAGTTTTACATTCATCATTTAGTAATCGCGCTAATGTGCGATCAATATTTTTGACGGATAAATAATATTTATATTTATTTTATTGTTAAATGACACATTAACTGAGTTTTTTGCGTATGGCCCAAATTTGCCGAATTGATCTTTATTTTGCGCTTCATTTTCTCTTCTTTTAGTATTTTAGGCGCATAGGCGTTTTTACTTTCAATCACTGTCTCAGTATTCACTTTTGCAATAATAATCACTTGACAAAGCATATACACAAATAACATACGTATATCATGCATGAAACACATGTGTTAAGTATTAAACTATTAAACATTATTAAATTAAAACAGATATTAGAAAATTATTTGGAAAATCAGTTTTATGAATATTATTCGGTTCTACACGGAGAAAATTTTATATCAAAAATTACTATGCACGGCAGCAACCGCGGGCCGAAAATTTTTATTACGTTTTACATGTGAAAAATATAGTAAACATTTTTATAATTTCTTTATGATCCGCGACTGCTGCCGTATATAGTAATTTTTGATGTAAAATTTTCTCCGCGTATGGAAATATAATAATAAAAATTGTAGTTTACGTGTACACGCGAGTTTTGTTATTTCTGTACTTAATTAGTTGGATAGCGAGCGATAAATGGGTACCGCGAATGGGTTTTTAATTAGTGTGGTTTGTCGAAAACTTTGGCCAACGGTATGTCAATTAAATCAGTCATTTTAAACTTTCGCATGAAGTTACAATTTGATTTATCCACTGCAACTGCGGGATATTAACAAGTGCTAGGGTTCTGTTCCTGCTTTTTTTTTTATATCGTTGTTGTAAAAAAAAGCCGTGCGCGACTACTAAGTTTCATATATCTTCCTTTATATCAATCTCTACTGACGAAAGCTGGCACAAATCCGTGTCACACACGAGTCTGCGTGTGGAAAAAAAAATTAGCGCTTCCACAAAAAAATAGCATGACTTCACGCAAGGTGAAAAAAAGCATACTAACCTGGTGGAAAAAAGCTGCTTCAAAAAGTCGGTGACGAAAAAAAGCTGCAGCAGTTCGTGTTGTCAAAAAATGGCTCGGTTATCGAAATTTGTGACGGCAAAAAAATTAGAGAGAGATAGTGATTCGTACTTGCTAAAGTGCGACTCATGTGATTGCTAGACTATAGCTTATCAAACTTTTATTTTTTTTTGCGTGATTATTAATTCGTGTGCTCGGCGCTAGTATTTTAAGCTAGTGAAAGCTCGGCACTAGCGATAACTATCAATTTTGCAAAACTGTCAATTTAAGTGCTTTTGCTTCATAACGTATCTATATTATTGCTAAAAATTAGCGTTTTATGTTTTCTAATTTATTAAATACTTATCGATTTTTTAATTCAATTACTTTTTATCTAAATGGTTGATATGCTGATAGTTTTGCAGTTTAATTTTTTTAGATTTACATTTGTCTGCATATTGTCTGCATATTCAAATAATTTAACAATTTTCTGCTGTCGTGATATTTACTTATGCTGTCGATAATTTAATTTATTAATCACACACTGTTAAAACTTTTTTTTAAATTAGACTAAATTACGTAAAATTCCTCATTAAAGATCGATATGTACTGAAATCCAAGTGTAATCCGAACTACATACAATATTTGGCAATCTTGTTGCAACGTTGCAACAATCCGTGTATGTCCGTGTAATCATCGTAAATTAGTACTCGTTAATTATGCAGTTTCAATCGAGAATAAAAATTATACTTGGCAGAGGTGGATCACTTAAAAGCTAGAAACGGGGCTCTGGGAAGATTGGGAGTTGAATCAACGAAAAAAAGTACATGCCATATCCTGAAAAAGATAGAAATTTTTTGGATCTGGTTGTAATTAATTGCACGTTAATTTGTCCATTGTTAGTAAATACGCGTGCATGTATTATTGCCGATTAGAGCGTGTATTAAAAAGAACTTTCGATTTTTCTCTACATTCTCTACATTTCTCTACATCGCCTCGGATCTCCCGTATCAATAGTTTCATTAAAGAACACGTTGTTTGAAATTGTTTACTATGTTTATATACAAGTGTAGAACTGTCAATGTTTCTATGAATTGCATCGGTGTGGAAATGTATTTCTGTGTGTGTGCTAACTTTATTCCACTTGCAGTATGTACAGCGTGTGTATTTATATTAATGAAAAAATTAGATAACTTAATTAAGAACTCTCTAAATAATTAAAAGAAAACAGACGACAATGTGGTGTGTGAAAAATCGAAAGCACGAATTAGAACGCGCAAGCGTCGAGAGAAAATTTCCAGCTTTTTCAAGTTTTGGCGGCCATGTTTTATTTAAATTTATTATTTCTCCTATTAGATTTTCGGAAAAGAGAATTTTTTGCGTGTCTCTCTCTCTCTCTCTCTCTCTCTCTCTTTCTCTTTCGCCAGCTCTGCCTCTTCACATGACTTACGCATGCCTTATTCCTTTCGACGGAGCTATCATACTTTCATCACACACTCTGTGCCAAACGTAGATTTCCTTGTTTTCATGATTATTTATTAAGTGATTAAGTGGTTGCGTACAATATTGCCTAAAGTAATGTCTATGATGATTGGACAAGCCGGTTTTTCCACCTTTATCCCACACTTTCGCTTTTTTATATCTCCTTTTCGGCTCATTGGCTTTTCGCATTTAAGCTGCGGCCTCCACTTCAGCTGCAAGAGTTAAGGATGTCTGAATAGTGCGTGCCCGTATTCTGTCCCTGTGATTGTCTCGTGTTGTCTCAAAAAATGAAAGACTACACATAATTAGCATTATAAAAAATTTTCAAGATATTTTCATAATTTCCTTGGCCCTCTCCAACTGTCTTTTACATAGAAAAATTTTAACTTTAGAGAAAAATCAATGTAATATATATTTTGTCATAAATAAGCTGCTTCTATAAGTTTGACATATTTTTTGTATCAATTATTAATAATCGAATTGAGTTAATTAAATTAAATTTCTCAAATTGAATTAATTAAATTAAGTCGAGATAATAAAAGAACCATAGTCATACAATTTGTTACACATTCATATTATTTAACATTATTAGGGTCTTTGGAAAAGATGAAAAGTAAAAAACAGTAAAATATGTTGCGACAAAAATTCTTCTCGCATAAAATTTATTCGTAGTGTAATTAATACGTTTCTAAATTCTAATATAAGAGCCTAGCAGTTTTCTGTTGCACTCTCGTAAAACGTCGATTTCGGTTTTCGATCACATTGGCCAATGTTACAAAGTGATTTTTTGAATTCGTAAATCGTTCTCTCGACGACCGTCTTAACGCATTGAAAAAAAAAGGAAGGAATCGTGTGTGTTTGACTCTATTCGGGATTGCTAAATATGAGGTTTTTATCGTGTTACAAAGAAGCGGGCAACATTCCGTGTGTAGAAATAAATTATAGTGTGGTTGTAACGTATAAATCGTGTGTATATAACTTTATTACTGTTTTTAACTTTTAAATTCTATACAAAATTGTTATCGTGTACAGTGCTTATATAGTGATTAAAAATTCATACTTTTTATATCACGTGATCCAATATACACTAATATTTAACTTATTCTAATTTGCACGCGCTGCGTATAAGTGAAATATCATCAGATAAAAAATGTGTAAAAATATTACGGTAACAAAATGAAAATCACTCAAAAATCTTATTATACATTTGTATAATACTTCAATTTGTTTTTCTACAACATTCCATGTTACAACAATTATATTAATATATCTGATAATTGAACTTTACATATATAATTAATAAAATCGTAGAAAAAAAATCTTCAAAAGATCGCGGCACCGTATTTATAAAAAAAGCACTAGCGGTAGCAAAAATTAGATACGCGAAATGATTTATTGGATATTAAAACGCCAAGCAATCACTTGCTCGCTACGAAAGAGTGCGTATACGTGTGTATAGTGTAATGTGTTTTTTTTTATTTTGAAGTAAGAGGACTCCATAAGCGAGATTATTAGGGTCGTGCATGGCATTAGTCGATCGCCTTTCGTAAGCAGTGATGCCGCGCACGGGAGGTGAGCACAATTCGCTCTTTGGTCTCCCATTTTCGTGAGATCTGTTGGCGTCTAAGGTCGCTCAAATCGATGATGCGATTCAGTAAGAGCCACTTGTTCGGTCTAGCGCCTGAAAATCAGAAATCAGAATCTCTGCTCAGCGGCGTGCGGGACCGCGCGAATTGGACGAATCGACAATGATACCCCATTTTGATGACTTTGAATCGTTACGGTGAGCTAGAAAATGTACTTTCTCTCTCTAGAGACGACTCACAGGGCGACACCTCGGGCACGACACGCATGATCCATGTGTGATCCATGATCGATGAACGATGATCCGTGACGCTTAGAAATGGTCGTCGATATAATTATACGTTAAAATTAGATAGTTGATTAGATTAGAAGCATGTGATGCAAAGATGACAAAATTTTTATATTTTTTCTTTTATAGAAAAATATTTCTTACGTGAAAATTTAGGATTATTCAATTTTTAGAAATTGATTATTTGAACACTATTCTGATCTTTATTTCCTTTTAACGCAGATTAGATTATATTTACGATTTAAAATTTATTGAGTTAAAATATTCAAGTGCCGTGATAATGGAAGGTTTATTTTTAATTTTAATTAGTCATCTAGGAAATTTTTCGGCAGTGTGTACATTATGAATTCGAGTAATGTTAAACGATCAGTTAGGTATTTAAATTATCTCAAGTTCTCCTGATTGCAATCGTACGATACACAGAACATTCTACCATAAATCCATGATATCAACGCCGATCTCGATTCGGTCGCGATTAATCGATAAGGATCCGAGGACGAAGGTGCAAAATCTAAGTCGCGAGGCAGAGAAGTCTTCAGATATTGAAACATATTGTACATATATTTATACGTACTTAGAGATATGCATATTTTCTCATTTAGTGATATAGTTATAAGTATAATAACTTAGAGATACAAAGAGAGATGCGTAAAGTAATTAGTAATTACATGTGGCATGTGTGGTGTGAAGATACACAGACGCGGTCACCGATTATTATTAATTATTATTATGATTTACAATGAAACTAAACAAACGAACCGATCAACACGTACGTCCAAGAGGTGCATACGCATTTTACACGTAGGTGAGTGGGGAGCGACATATGGCGTAAAATCGGGGGCAGGGGCGGAGGAGGAGGGGGGGGTGGTGGTGGTGAGGGTGGCGGTGGGGGGGAGTGGCAAGTCCGTTTTTGTTTCTTTTTCTCTTCGGTCAAGTGTGCAGGCAAAGTGGAGGGTAAGAATGTGGTGTACGGTACCTCTCCGGGGAGGCGTTTCTGGCTTCTGAGAAAGGCCCGGAAGGCCGCAATGTGCATGAAATGTCTGATTCTCTCAATGAGAATTATTGCTTCTTTCTAACTTATTTTATTCTTCACCCCTGTGGAACGCCGGCCAGAAGCCAAAAGCACCGGGTCATACATCGAGAACTTAATCTAGGAAGGTCCACGAGAACAAGTATAGTTGTCTGTTAACACGTTTCGATACGAGCACGAATTCGACGATTTTTGCAATCCATTCTCTGCGTCCGTGGTTTTTTTTTTTTTTTTTTTTTTTTTTTGTTTGCTCGTACTTACTCCCGTTTCCCGGCTCTACTCCCGTCTATTCCGCTCTCACTGATTTCGTCGCGCTCCTTCTCTCCCATTTATTTCTTCTCGCTTCTCTCGCATTCTCTCTCTCTCTTTCTCTCCCTCTCTCGCTCTCTCGTTCGACATCGAGGTATTATAAGAGTTTTCGTTTCGTTTCGCGCTTTCGATTCTTTCTCTAAGACGCCGTTCACTCTCTTTTGGACTCTTTTGCTCACAGTTCTTTAGTACGTACCGGGGGTGAAGCGTTCTACGGGTTTGTACTGATGAGGAGACAACAGCCTCGGCGAGTAACCGTAGATCTCGCGATGCACGGGTAGATACCTGGAGAAAAGTGTGGAGAACATGATGACGTTAATATATTTCTTAAAGTAGCGGAAATAGATGTTTTATTGGTTTCAATATCACAAACTTTGGATTCGAACGTTTATGGCACTTTATTATTCTATATTGTAGTTGGAAAATTAAAAAAAATAAATTTCCGAGCAAATACATTTAGATTCTCACATAAAAACCGACACACAGAATGTAAAAAATATACTCACACAATGTAATTGTCCGAAACATATATAACGATATAATTTTGTATTCTGATTTTAAATCATCAACTGGTTTATCTTACACTCGATTGACTTTTCGCGGAGACAAATAAATAATGAGGAAAGGGGAAAAAAGGTATTACGCGTACACACCTGTATCCGGGAACATTAATACGATCGGCTGCGTGAATCGGGTTTTCGAAAATTGATTTTCCAAACGGCCACGAGGTGGAATGCAGCTCAGGATAATCCGAACGGAAAATGCCGCGGGGCCTGTGAGTGTGCTCGGGAGCTCTGATGTCGTCAGTGCCTGTTTCCATTTAGTTTTGTTAAAAAAATACCGATCTCCGACATTTTATTCGCAAACTTTGATGGATCAAACATAAGTCTTGTACTAATTACGTAAAAAGTTGAAAGTTTTTGTTTTAAATTTGCAAGAAATTTTTTAAATAATATGTATAGCAAAGAAATTTAAAAACTTTAACAAATGCAGAAAAAACGAATTATTTGACAAAAATTAATTTAGAGTACAAAAATTAGAGAGTTTAGAATAAAATACTATTTTTTTAAATTCTTTAAATTAAATTTTATGGAAAATGTGCTCTAAAAGAATTTTAGTGCAGAAAGACAATTTGTTTTGTACAAGTGATTACATACAATCAATAAAAACAGATATCGGAAGTTTGAAAATAGACAGATAATGTCACAATGAAATTGCATGTCTCACCTTTCAGAGCTCGTACATAACTCTGCCAAAATTTCGCCTTTCTTGTGATGGGCTCGTTGCGCCCGATCATGTCGAGATTGCTTTTGAATCGCGCGTCCATTTTGCTTTATTGAACTGCTAACCACACTCGTTCGCTGTAGCAAAAGACAAAAAAAATAAACAAATGATCGGAGATTGTAAACTTCTCCGACAATGTGCCCACTAGATTCGCGAATCATACGAGAATATAAAAACGAGCCCGTCCGATTTTGATGTGAATGTATTCAGTTTCTAATCATTCACGACACTTTGCAAGAACTGCTCTTCCTTCAGTGAAAATTTAAAGATTGCCGTATATGTAAAAATTATAAAATTGATAAGTATATAATAAAAATCTTGATAACGACACTTAATCGACTTAATGTTACTTTAACAAAATTTTGTTGGAACAATTTAATTGGAATATTTAGCAATAAAATTATTCAACAATAAAACTGTTGTCAAAAAATTAGTTTCAAAGAATTTTTAAATATAAAAAGATGCAATAGTTTTGCATGTGTAAAGATACAAGTTTTGAACTGAAAAATTGTCTACAATACTTTACATATACGGCTATTTGTGATTAGTAATTTTTGTGTTAAGTTGTTTAGTTACAAGGGAATAGAAAAATACCATTAGATGCAAGAAGAATTCTGTCGAGAGATAAATTTTTCAATGTTAAATGTATAGGTATAAAAAATATTAACTTGGGAATTTTCTTCGCAAATGCAACTGAATCTCCTATGAAGAAATCTTACAAATAGGTATACAAAATTCTTGCAGCGCAAAGCGATTGCATAAGCCACCTTAAATTTAACGACTTGCGTAGGTGCGGCTGTGCTTCTTTAACCTTCAGTAAACTATGCGCCATTTCCGCAATCCATTATCATGAGGCATTCATTCACTTTATTAATGCATGATATAAGCCACTGCTGGCAAAAAGATTCATATAGGTCGGGCTTAGTTTAACTAACTCTAATGTTTCACTTCTTTTAATTTGTTGACTTGAGAAAGCGTCACTTGTGGCATTTATTCGTGTAAAAAAATTACAAGACTCGCGCAAAGGCTTGAAAGAAAAGCGCAAAAATATTATAAGTATATTTATTGAAGAATATTTTAACGCTAAAATTAACACAATGCTGTGCAACATTATTTTTTGACTAAATAACATTATTAAATTTGGATATGTAATTCGAAGATTATTGTGTGACGTTCTGTTTTTGATCGCGTGATAGCAAAATTGGTCCGTAGCTTTCCTTGCGTCAGCCAATCGCAGCTTGTGACACTAAACGGGAGCGTCGTTTTTCTTTTTGTTGACGCAACGGACGCCGCTAATTTTAGCGTCACGCATACTTCATAGTCGCCCTGGATCGCCCGAGCGTTTTCGCAGATATTCCTGTTTCATTCTCGGTGAGAATGACTGAAGGTCGTGAAGATGAGGCGAAAATGAGGTTGCTCTTCGTGTTGATGTTTAAGAAATAGATATAATTTATGACTCATTTAATATAAAAAGCTTTTATGCTCGATTTTTATATTAAACATGTGCAATATAACAGCGTGTTACATTTAATGCAAACAGGCCATTTGATATAGTCGCATTAATTTTTTCAAACTGTTTTTCAACATAAAGTAATATTAAAATTGCAAAATTTTATATTTGCAAAAAGAAGCAAAAAAAAAAGAAGCAGTTTAATTTTGTATAAATTAAAAAACTTTAAAACAGCAATCTAAAAACTTGACAGATGGATTACGAAATTGCAAGAATTAAGTTTTGTGTTCTTTAAAAAACAAGATAGATTGTTATCACGCCGAATTCTTGAACACGATCTTCAAAATGTCTCGTTTAAAAGTAACGAGAGGAAAAATAGCCAGATCTCTGGGGCTTAGTGATTCGTTCTTTCCAGTCTGCATTCTCGGGCGCGCGAGTAAAAAGAAAGGCGTCGCGGCGCTCACGAGCGACGCGACGCCGTGACGTAAGAGTCCCGGATTCGCGGTCGCTATATTTAGGCTGCCCGGGCCCCGCTCCGTTTTTAGTTGGTAACAGGTGGAAGCGTCAAAGCCGCGCTCGAAGTAAGCATAGTCGACGAGTCTTCGTCTGACTTTGACCGATTTTCGTGAATCCCCATTGAAGAGTCATGATACCGGTGTGTCCCGACGATAATGACCTCGTAAATTTTGCCGCAAGCATGGTAGTTTCAGTGCCTGGTCTACGCGATACCTCGAATTTGTGCTTTTGTGATCTCGATTGCGGTCACGCCTTGAAAGTTGTCGGCGGAATGTGTACTGTGGAAATTATATTACATATTTATGTAGAGAATAATTTTGTGCATTATAAACCTTCGAAATGTATTTTTAAAAATTTAGCAAAAAATAAAAATACAGATGTAAAAACGAAAAAATTCAAGCGAGATCCGACATTTCGATTTAATAATATTCCACTATTTTTTAAATTTTTTTATGCTACGAAATATTTTATACATGATATACGATTGCTAGCTAAATATATAATTTACTGATACCGCGTGTTCAAAATCCTAATTCTTCGACTCGTCAGAGCTATTTTCACTAGCGCCGCAGTTCTCGAGTATGCTTATTTGAGAATATCTTGACCTTAGAATCGCATTCACGTAGAAATATTAAGAAATGTCCAAGAATAAAGGGGTTTCTTTAATTTCCAAATCAATTAAAAATATCTCTTTAATTTTTTACTTTTTCTCGTAGATTAAATTACAAAAATCGGGAGAGATTATAGAAAGTTTCTAAAAAGTTGAGTAAAGTATAAATTTTGAGCAAAAAGCTGACGGCCATCGAGAGTGTCGCGAGGAATCGCATTTTTGTCGCGTGCGTAATGGAAATCGGCGTAGGAGCACCGGAAGAATGAAATGAAAACGAAAGGTGCTCTCCGTAGAGGTGGATCGCATCCGGATGCGCATGATAATCTAGATGGCTTCTAAAAATATATATGGCGCGGTCAAGCAAATCATCTGGGACGTAGGTTCAAAAACTGAAATACGTCCCGCTTGTATAAACATCGCGATTACTCGAGAATCGACTTAATCATCGCTAAAATATTTTAATTGAAAGACCACTTTCTATGAAGGAGAGACCTATTTTCGATTCAATAAATATTTAAGTTACGTGCGGATTTATTAAAAATAATATATGAATGTTATATTAATAATATTTTAACGCGCAAATATATACGCACAAGAAAAATTGAACAAAAATTGAAATACAAATATATCAACAATATTAAAGACAATAATCTTCTAAATAGCCATTTAATAGAAATAATGATAATTATTTTTATATTTTAATATAAACGTATAAAGTCTGTAATTAGAAGAAATTTTTTTACTGCATTTTGTGCTTTATTGTACGGAAAGCAGAAATTTACGTATGCATGCTACGTCGCGGACACGTCATTCTGTTATACGCGTCGTAGGAAATGCATGACAAAGAAATTAAATAATCGAGAGATTTGGCATTCCGTTGCTAACACGTGCGTAGTTTTAGTGGTCTCTCACTGCTACGGGATCACGGTTTACGACTGCTGCGACGACATTTCCACCTGTCCTAGCATTCTTGGCTGAAAATCGCGCGCTATCCGTATCACGCGACCTCGTAAGAGAGCCAAGCTTGACATAATACACCTTATTAAGTGACAATATACTATATATCTTGTTATAGTAGAGTATTATTTCTATTTTAAATTAATTTAAAAAAAAAAATTGAAAAAGAAAACTTTTATCACTTATAAAGTTGCCTTTACGAACTGTAAAGTTTCGTAATTTAACACTGTAGATTGCCTTTGAATAATGTAAATTGCATTAAAAATTATGAGACTTAATTAGAAATTATTAATATTTTGCTATCTTTATTGAGAAAAAATTTAAGTTTCCGACGCAGAATATCGCGCTGTATTTCCGATATTATTACTAAGCACGCTCTATACAATAAAATGAAGTCGCAACGGTTAGCGCGTCACAATGATTATTCCTCGGGAAGGTAAAAGTATGCTTATGCATCGGTGGCGTGCATGTTGCTGGTGGTGTTAGAAACCGGGCCGATGTTGAAGACTTGCCAGGCGGGGGCGGTCGAAAGCGAATTTCCTAAGTGCACGCTCCTTTAGACTCCAGGCTTCGCGTGACTCGTTAAAAGGCCGCACGGGATCCGCGTGACCATTCGCGAAGGAAAACTTTCGCACATCGCGATATTAATGCCGGAACTTTGTCGGCGGACTGAGAAGACCCGGCACGTTACGCGGTGAAACGCGAGAAGCGGAGCGGGAAGTAGTAAAACCTACGCTCGCGTCAGACAGCACTGTTTAAGCAGGGACACGTGGTGACATTGTACAATTATCACACGCGCGGGTTTCATTACCGCCGCTTTTAGTCTGATGCACCGTTCGCGTTTATTTTCGTTTTCCAAGTATAATTACTATGAATTACACGTGAGATAATTTATGATGAAACATTTTTTATACATCATTCTACACACAGTCAAAATTAATAAATATTGACGAGCAATTTTTATTGTATCGTATTAGAGATTGTTGGTTACATCCTTTAAATTATAGTAAAATATTACATTTATTTATTTTATCAAGGATTTCAAAATTTAATTTATTTTATCTAATCAGGAAAGATAAACTTCATTTCAGACAAAGACTAAAAATGTGTGATTTTTGTGGTTAATTAAATAAACAAGATAAATTTAGGGACTAGATTTGACTTGTGACGAGTCAGATCAATGAAATATCGAAAAATATTGCTCGCGATAATTAAATTTGATCTCGGCCGGCCCGAAAGTAGTAGCGTCCCAATTTGGTCGGACGTTGTGTTGGCACTTGCGGTGACGTGCTCCACAATATTAGCAAGCTCATCAGTCTGGAACGCGTTTAGTTACGAGAATAAAAAATTTTGCGAAACCCTTACATTACACTTTCTGACCAAAAATATTTGCACACGACGATACACAAAGAAGTGAACCAATAAGCGAACTAAGAAGACAAAGTAGTATGAATTAGAAATTAATATTTTTACTCAGATATAGAAGATTAATAAATTCTCCCGATCGATATATTATTGGAAAAAATATCTATTTTTATTAATTCGATAAAAATTTAACTATTGTTTAACTTGGAAATTTAGTTTCAAAACTAAAACTCGTTTATCGCGATACAATCAGGCTGGCAGAAGCTTCTTCTAGTGATAAAATAAAAAAAAACATGATGGAATAATAAAAGCGAAGAATTACGGCGATGTTTCTTTTGATTAGTGGGCAAATTGTTTTGAGTTTTAACGGTAGAAAGAGAACGGCTACACAGACACGCGTCGGTCTTGGCGGATCGCACGGATCGGCTATTCTCGTCCGTCGGTATAAATACGCGGTCGCGCGCGCGCTTATTACGTAAGCTTTAAACAAATCGTTGCCAATTATTATAAACAATCCGCCACTCTGCGGGCGATTGGCATAAGCTGGACGATCGTCAAGCAGGGCGCACCCGTGGCCGCGCGAGCCTCAAATTGGTATTGCAATAAAAAGGAAACCGAGACGACGCGCGCGCCGGCCATTGCCAAGTCGTCTTCCACGAAATTAGAATTCGCCAGATGCGGCGGAGGCGAGATTACGACGGCAAGAGCCGATGAATTCCTAGCGTTAACAAGAACCGTCTTTACAATCGTCGCATTTATCGTCGTGCGCGAGAGATCTTAATGTGCACAAAAGACTCTTTGAGCGTTGATTGATGTTGCAAGGAACGTGTAGCAAGAATATGAAACCTTTATCTTCGAGGCCCAAAAAATGAAAAAAAAGTTTCAAATTTACGATATTACTGTGTAACTGTATCATCTTCTATACGGCGATCAATAATTTTATTTGAAATGTAAATGCAATTTTACAGAAAGTCGGCGATATGAACAAGTAGGTGACATATATATTACGCAAGGGCGCAATAGCGCATGTTTGCATCACTCCGTCCGTCTTTCCGAAAGACTTGCATACCGTTATGCGACTGTACTCGATTTTAAGCATACAGCTGTCAGAGGGAAACGTCACTTTAAACGACAGATAGTGATTTGGTCACGCGAAGTAAAAGAACCGTTCTGGACGTGAGATCACGAATGAGGTCGTGATTGCGCGTAACTGACGGCGCTCTTACAAAGATAACTTAACTTACAAAGACAGATTAGAATAACATTGATTGATGAAATGGGATTAAAATCTTGATTTTCGATATTGTGAGCAATAATCGTCGACAGTCTGTTGTTATTGGCTCTCGACGAGCGGTGACAGGTCTGATATAATTAAAAAATATTTCTCACAACTTCTTCGTTTACATACATTGTTTATCATATATACATCAGCATGGTTATATACACATAAAGCATACTAGCAAAGAAATCGATCAATCGATTTACATCTTCATCGTGCTTTCGACGTGTTAGTGATATCATTAGTCCGTCAACGCACACATACACACACACACACACACACACACACACCTGTGAGTGACACACGCAAAAGAAAAGCGAGAAAGACGAGAAACGGAATGAAAGACAGAGAGTTAAACGTGGTTAATGCGGTTAAACGCGCGCTCTTGCGCGGATGATTAATGGAAGAGCGAGTTCCTACTAAATGTATGCGGCGCAGAGCAGAGGATCACGTCCGATCAGGCGTCCCTTCCTTCACTGCGCACAGTAGATCGAGGACGCGGCCGCTAAGAGACGCATCGGAAAATTCGCACCGCTTTCATACGATCGAGGGGAAATCCCTTGGATCCTTCCACCCTTCGATGCACTCACGATGGCGCTCGCATCGGTCTTTCGCTACCCCGTTTCCGATTTTCAACTCCCTACGTTTCCCAGTTTGTTTCTCGTCGTAGCTAAAACTTCTCCCCGCGGCTCGTTTTTTTTTTTTTCTCTCAAGGAACAAAAGTTCTGCGACTTCCGGCGATCTCGATCAGAAAGAGACAGAAAGAGAGAGAAAAAGAGAGAGAGAAAGAGAGAGAGAGGATGCAGGCCTTTACCTAAGTATTTCGGGCGACCGTTCGGTTCGGAGATTGGACCTTAGACTGGGCGGCTGCCGCCAAAAGTGTGTACTAGTATACCACCGATAGCGTACACGGTGGCGCCGATCTGGCGACGGGATCCAACGAAAAGCCGCTCGACATTTATGGCACAACCCCCGCCAGCGAGATGCGATTGGTCGAGCGGCACCTTCGTGGGCAGGAAGACGAGGAAAAGACGGGAAGAGAGCGGAGTGTGCGAGCGCCGCAGCATCCGCCGATCGCCTCCCGGCCTCCCGGCGACGCGCGAGCACGCTCGCACTCGAGAGATTGCGCATTCGCCGCTCGGGATTTACGACGCTGATACGCGCGCCGTAATCATACAATAGCGCCGTACACTTCAATACCTGGGAATCGAGAACGCGAGCGCGCTGCGCAGAAACACAGCCGCGTTACGTAATGTTAATGCAAATTGCGCGCGTCCACGTTTCCCGCGCGAGCACTTCGAGAGGCGCAGCCTCTCGTACGGATTTACGAGATTCATACCTTGGAGATTTTATTTATCGCACTTTCGCGTATTCTAAAAATGGAGACGGCATTCTACGAAATAAATTATCATCATTTTAAATGTTGGATTTTCAATATTAAATATTGATCGATTAATTTTTCTCGTTGCTTTATTTAGATCAACTTGCTTCATTAGCACTCGCCCGTTTCCACAGGCGTAAATCAATCTTGCGAGCATTTATTATTTCTGTTCTGTTGAACAGTGACTCAGTCTAATGCGAGCGGCAAGTTGCAGCACCGTAATACAGATGCGTCGTACACGTGCTCTATTGCGTGAAATACAAAAGCGGGGCGTCGCTTAATTTCCGGAGTGGCCCGGCGACTGTAAATCAACCTCTAATGCACCTTCAAATTAGCGGTTTATTTTTTCCGCGGCCGTCAGCTACAACGAAATATCGACACTCGCTCGTTACCGGAGTCGTGAAAGTCCATGCCGTCGATTTACGAAAGTGAATCACGAGTTGATGATTCGCGTTTGCAATATAGCGATATTTGCGTTGCGCCGGATTGCCCGTAACTCACATTTATTCTAAATATATATATGCAAGTCATATGTTTTTTTTTTTGTAAATATACACGCGTGATTCAACGACATCGCGTGGATGCGATTCTAAAGAAGGTGTTCGGTTACTCAACCACGCTCTCGCGCCTCAATTTACGTTTCCTTGTCAATAAGCGCCCTTGATATATTTTTACTCGCCTTGAACCTTGAAGCACCGTGATTTAGTAGCCTTATAAATTTCATGAAAATATCTGTTTCTTATTTACTTTTTATTTCTCATTATTTTTCGTAATATCTAGTAGACGTTAGCATATGTAATTGTTGTGATTTGCGAATGACAGATAATGTTAACAGTAAACATCACACGTGCGATACCTGACAGGTGACGAAACGTGAGTTAAGCCAAATTGGCAGTATGTTCCTTATAAGTGAAGGCCACTCTTGTCATGTGTATACTTATCGCGATACGCACAACATAATGTCTATATCGCGTTACGGGCATCTTTTTGACATTTCGGTCGTGAAAAATATTTCAAAAATAAATTTTTATTTGGATACAAACAATGGTAACATAAATCTTGCGTTACTGCAAATTTAAGAAATCTTGTTTTCAAAACACGACATACACATCTCGAAAACGAGAACATTAGAATTTTCACAGAAGAGCAAAGAATAGGAATATCTTGGTAATATATTTTAAATTATTTTGAAGAATTACACGAAACTTAATGAGTTAAAACATGCCGAAAAAGTCAGTTACGTTTTTGTCCGAGATTAAATCAATGAAATCATTGAGGATTTATCGAGCTGTCAAATTAAGAAGATGAGTAATTGATTCCCACTCGATATATAAATATCCGTATTTACAACAAGTAATGACGTCAATCGATCTTTGAAATACGTCACTCGAAGAGAATGTTTTGGCCAGACGTGTGCGAAAATTCGCAAAGACGTAGTCCACGAAAGTCGCCAGTCACAATAGTTGATCTCTTTAAACATATAAATTATACTCTTCTCGTACACATAGACTTATAATACACGGAATAAATTTTTTGAAAGAATCGTTACAGATATCACAAATATAAAAAATATCAGAAAATTACAGAATATCACAAATGTGAAAAATTGCTTGATATCTGACATGCATATTGAAATCGAAATGAGAATAAGATCAATTTGTTAATTTAAAATTGATGAGGATTCTGAATTTTTATAGTTAACCGCGATGCAGAAATTAAAAACTGAACAAATTGCATTAAAGACTGTAATTTTTATAACACTTTTAATGTGAAGGAAAATGAACAATGTTTCATTAAATATAACTTTATTGGAAATTACAAACGTCACACGATATCGCGACAGAATCTGACTCATCTGACATGAAGGCGTAGTTTGTTTAATTTAAGGCGTAGAATAGGTTACAAATTTAAATGAAATACATTGCAATTGTATAGTACGAAGTGATAAAGAAGAAAATGTTGCTAAAAATGAATTGAATATTAAATAATTAATATCAATTTTTACGAGATTTCTAAAACAATTTTCTATGTAAACGCAGCGTGCGTTTGCTTTTAGAAATAAATAAAAAATTAAATGCAGATTTTTTTGAAATTTATTTTTATAATCATAAATTGAGCAAGTAACTCTTTTTTTATTGAAAACGTTGCGAAATAACATTAATTTCCATTATAATATTTTTTATAATTGAAAGAGAAAATCTCAGTATAAGTATAGTTTACGGTTTCTTCGTTTAACCTAATTATAGTTTTAAATCTTGCCATCAGATGTTGTTTTATGTCAGATCCCAATTGCGCCTATATATTTTTGATTCAGCTTCAACTATGCAACCGTGACATTCCGGAAGCGCATAGTCGCACTTCCTTGGAGCGCGTTGAATCTGCAAAAGGCCTAGCGCGGGCTCGCATGACGCGAATGTACTAACAAGGACGGAAGAAAGGTGATCTTTTCGTTTTTGGCACTCCCTCGGTCATTCGCAGGTCCATGCGAGCGGCCTCCTAGCACACATATACCGGGTGCGCTAAATGCAGCGCTATTTTCGTTGTCGCGTTCGTACCGGTCGGTCGGCCCGGCGATATGTAGGCGAGGAGGACCACGTTTATTTTCAATTCGGCCACGGCCAGATCGACGACGACACCGATCGGCACCCAGGATGTGCTCTTACAGTGACACATGGCCGGACTATGTGTCTTCGAGTCGTTTTGACGCACCTAAAGGTGAAGATCCGTTCGTTTGATGCGCACAAGGTGGTCATAGTAAATGTGTCATTGAGACGCAAATCATCGAGCGTAAAATCAATATTTTATTTTATTTAATAGTTATTTTTCCACCTCCCTTTGAGCGCTCTATGTCGACTCTAGTGTATTGTATACATGTATATAAAAACTTATAGAAAAAGCACGTAAAAATCCATAAAAAATTTGTCATATATTTTATCTATAGAAAAAACTGTCATATATGTTATCTATTAAAAAAACTGTTGTTCTTTATTCTTTATATTCTTTATTTGCATCATTCTATAAAAAATATAATATCAGAAAATGGCGCCAAGTGAGAATAAAAATTATACACATTATTGCTACAAAAATAGAAAATTGTTTTATATTTTATACAAAAGATATATTTTGTTAAATTATTAAAAAATTAACGCCAATAAAAATTAAAAAAATATTTAATGCAAAAAGACTTGGCGCGCAAGAAAACTTTCTGATATCATATTTTTTATAAAATGATACAAGTAGAATATGCAACAGTTTTCTAATAGGTAAAATGTGTGATAGTTTTTTCTATAGATGAAATATAATATGACAAATTTTTTTACAAGCTTTTAATATATACATTCTATAGGTTTTTATGTAGACAGCAATGAGATTTATTACGGATGCTATATTTATTTACTGTAAATAATTTTGCTAAATTTGTAAATTATATCGTTATCATGACAAATTGATTTTTACTTTATCATCAAAATTTGTATTGGCAACGACAATTTATCTGCAATTAGCAAAATACATTTGTTAGAAATAAATTATTTTGTTGTAGCAGCAAATTAATGTGTCTTTATGAACAAATGTACTCATTGTGAGCAAAATTCATCTATTTTACTAGCAAAGTAGAGATTTTGCTGATATATTGAATAATTTAAAAAATTAGACATAATAGTAACAAAATTTTATCGCTATCACATCTAAGATGTAATAACGATTTTGCTAGCAAAATTCTTTTTGCTGTGCATCGACTGCAATAAAATTACATTGTATATTTCTGTTTGGGAGCGGAAATATACAATATGATTTTATTACAATCTTGTTTAAGACGGAATACACGCAATCGTAATTTCTGTGTATCTTATCTACTACGTCAACCGATTGTTACGTTTGGCCAGTTGAAAGCGTTATTATGCTGAAAGCTCTCGATTACCTCAGCATACGCAAGCAGTAGTTCCGAAAAGCTCACATCGCCGAGAGATAAATTTAGAATTCTACTTATATTACTTTCCTGCAATCGGATGATGCAGTTTGACGCAAATTTCTCGGGCGGGAATGTTCTTAAAAATGTGCAAAATATCCATACTCAAAGCAATTACTGGGCGTGTAAAATTTCGGTAAGAGGTCGTCCATTCGATTTTTTTTTTTCTTCTTTTTTATAGATTTAATCTCCGTCGCGTGACTATCGGAAATTCCGTTGAAGCTTCGCGAGGAAATGAAGAAGAAACGAGTTAGATGTTGAAAGAGAGAGATTTTAAAATGAGTTGCATGATAATTTAAGGCAAACAATCTGAGGCAAACTTAATTTTTTCTAACCTTGAAAAACATGGAAGTCAAAATACTCGAACATGTGGAACTACACGTGGAACTACATATGGAACTACATGTGGAACTACACTAAACTCGAAACATGTGGAACATATTCTTCCAAAATTCTGAATTCGTTAAATTATTTAATTACTGTTTTAATATAGCATCAGCTCAATCAAATTTATGTATAATATAGAGATTTATGATATATTAATACCGCGGAATATACAATATTAAAATTCACAATAACGCTGACATTATTTATTATTTTTGTCTTTTATGAAAGATAACGTGATTATGACATTTAACATGTTAAAACTT